GAAAAAAATAAACGAAAAAAAAAAAAAAAAAAAAAAAAAATGTTTTTTATTACTATATTAATTTGCAATTTCGAATCCACTTTAAGACTCGCGCAAAATTTTCCCGAAAAAAATTTGTTTTTGTTATTTTCTCTCTCTCTCTCTCTTTCCAAGAGGAGGGGAGGGGGGGAAGAGAATAAATTATAAATATTTTCACCGCAACCTGTTAAATTAAAAAAAAAAACAACTTGACGTTTCTCGAAGCAAAATTTTTTTTCTATCAAACCGAAAAAGTAACTCTTGCCACAAAAAAAAAAAAAAAAGTTGCAAGTTATTATTTGAAAATTTTGCCTTCCCCCCTCCCCTCCACCTCCTTAGGCCTTATTAAAACCTGATTTAGCATTATTGGGTGGTTTTGCCTTTTCGCTTTTTTTCTTTTTTTGATTATCATGTCAATCGCCTGATAAAGTGGAATTTCGCTCTCGATATATTACAAAAAAAAAAAATTTTCAAAATATTATACAAGATTTCAATTTGTTTTTTTATTTTTATTTTTATAATTCAATCAACAATTCAAAGACAATCAATAAAAACTTTTTATAAAGAAAAATCATCTAGCATTAGTAATTAAAAAAATTAATTTAAATGTAACGGAATAAACAAATCAGGAGGTAGGTAACTCAAAAAACAATAATCAAGTAAGAAATCAATATTTACATAAGATGGTGTCATTAAAATTAACCCCTAAGGTAAATTTGTATTATTATTATTATTATTTTTTTTTTCCGTTACATAATTGTTCCAAAAACGAATAAGTTTTTTTTTTTTTTTTTTTTTTTTAATGAAAAATCTTTCAAGTTAATATGAATTGTTTGACATTTTCTAAAAAAAAAAAAAAAAAAATAAAAAATAAAAATAAAATATTTGAACTTAAAACCCGAATCGTAGCCAAAAATTTTTTATGAATTTTTTTTGAAACACCTTTTCTATTATTATTATAATTATTATTATTATTATAAATGAGGGGATACAAATTGAAACGACATTAATCACGCAAAATTGACCAAATTTTCTTTTAAAAAAATCAATTCGTTTTTGTTATTGTTTTTATTATCATCATCATCATTACGATTGTCGAAAGAGCTCTAAAGAAAAGGGAGCCAAATAAATTATATTGCAGAAAAGAGAAAAAGGTGGTCGTGGTTTAACCTCGGAAAAATTGAATCTTTTCCAATACTAGCATACAACCAAAGATTTTACGTTAATGTAAAAACAAAAAAGCAAAACACAATACAAAATTAGTTTAAGAGACCAACAGCAATTTTTCCAATCAATCGATAATTTTCCCTAATCGTTTTTCGAAACCTATACTCGAAGCCATTTTTTTTTTTGGAAACATTAAAAACGGGAAGAAGAAAAAAAAAGAAAACTTATAAATTACCCAATGACGCTCGTTTAAAGCAAACTTTCAAGAAAAAAAAAAAAAAATTATGAAAATGTCGAGGAAAAGAAAAAACAATAACAGACCTGGGAATAAAAAAAAAAAAGAAAAAAAAAAAAACAATAAAAGACCTGGGAGGGAACAAGAAGAAGAAAAAGAAAAAAAAAAAAAAACATTTTTCGGGCTTTATTGAACGTTATATCAGGAAAAAAAAACTAATTGATAAAAACGACGACCAGGTTTCTCTCTCTCTCTCTATCTCTCTCTTTTCAAACTTACTAATTTTTTAAATATTATTATTATTATTATTATTATTATTATTATTATTGGGGTAAGGAAATTAAAAATAACGCAAATAAAAAAAATTTACCCGAAATAAAAATAAAAAAAAAAACAATAAAGAATGGAACAAACGCAATTTTTTTTTTTTTTTGTTTGCTTCAAGTTTAATTAATTTGAAAATAAATTAAAAATTTTTTTTTTTTTTTAAACCACTGTTAAAATGTGAATGATAATAATAATAATAATAATAATAATAATAATAATAATAATAAAAATAATAAAATCGATTTCCCAAGATACATATACAAAAAAAAAAAAAAAGATTCGAAAATGAATACATTTCCCCAGATTTTCTCCAAATAATTATCGATTCGAAATTTAAATTGAAAGTTTTCTCTTAAAAGGTTTAAAATCCAATTTAAACAAATTTTCCTTTTTTTCTTTTTTTTTTTTTTTTAAAGCAAATTTTAAATTGACAGCAGCAAAACAAAAAAAAAAAAAAAATAATAAAATAAGAAAAATTACTTTTTCTAAAAATAATTTAATTGCAAAGCATTAAACAATTTTTTTTTTTTTTTTTTTTTTTACACCTTTGCTGCGCCAGCTGAAAGAGCAACAACAACAAAAATAATAATAATAATAATAATAAAATTTATTCAAAATCAAGTTTTTACGTTTTCCCTTTCATCCCTTTTTACCCGAAGTATGGAAGGAAGGATGAAAAAACAAATCTACAAACCCCTTCTGCAACAATTTTCATAAACTATGCACGAATTTCATTTTTAAAAAAAATCACGCAACACTTTTTCTTTTTTTTTCTATAGAACACAAATTATTATGCCATCACTATTTGCCGACATTTCACGTAAAAAAAAAAAAAATTACGCACAACTGGATTTAAACTGGATTCGTCTGCACAAAAAACTTTAAATACGTACCAAATTTTGCTGAGGTGAAAATCCGTTAACGACATAAAAAAAAAAAAACTACCACCGCAATAATACGCAATTTCACGCAATCGATAGTTGAGAAAACAAATTTTTTGATGTAGTGAGTGACAAAATAAACATTTTAAATAATTTATAAAAATTCATTAATAATAATGAAAAAACTTAATAAAAGGGTAAAATTCGAAGGAATCGAAATTTAAAATTTTAAACGTTAATTTCCGCCTTTTTCTTTCTCGAAAATCCCCTACCCCTCCCCCCTTTCATTCAATGTTTTAATTTAAATAATAAAAAAAATAGAAAATTTTAAGGGGGTTTTCCTCTAAAAGGTAGTAAAAATCTAAACAGGAAAGACATGATTTTCTTACGAATCGATTTGTGATATCTTTTTAACAAAATATATTTCCCCTTATAAAACTTTTCCGACTTGGAAAATTTTACATACATCTCATCTCTATCCGATTAGCAAATAATAATAATAATAATAATAATTTAGTGTCGTTTAACATTTAACAACTCAAACATGGTTTTATAATCGTGTACCAAGAGAGTTGGGAGAGAGAGAGAGAGAGAGAGAGAGAGAGAAAAAAAAAAGGAACCATTCAAAGTTCGTGCCTTATCGTCAACATTAAATAAACGAACTTAAAAATTTGAATGTTTATTATTGGAAAAGAGAGAAGAAGCCTTTTATTTAAAGACGTTACATAATTAAATAAAAAAAAAAAAAAAACTTGTAGGGAATCATATTCGGGAAAAACTATGTGGTTATGCAGTAGGTGGTATATGGGTAATACAATTATAAAAAACCGCGGAAAATCTTCAAATTCACACCATTTATTTATCATCCTATCCTAGTAAATTTTGACCAACTCGAGAACTAACAACACTAAAAAAAAAAAATTTTTTTAAAAGATGAAAACGTGGCAATTGTAAAACAATTTCAATTTTTGTCAGGCAGAAAAAAATTTTTTAAACGTCCTTGAAATATTTACATAAAAGCAAAAAATAAAACATTTATCATTTAAAAAAAAAAAAAAAAATTTAGTTAATACCTTTTAAATAAGCAAACACGATTAATAATCATTAATCATTTTTACAAGTGTTACTACTACTACTACTACTAAACAATAATTAACTCTAAAATCCTTACGGACTATTATTTATATAATAGAGAGAGAGAGAGAGAGAGAGAGAGAGAGAGAGAGAGAGAGAGACTGCGTTAATGTTAAACATGGTAGTCGGTATAGAAAATCAAATTTTATCGTCGGTCCTTAAAATAAGCGAAAACAAAAACAATTTTTCAAAATAAAAAATAAATAAATCAGTTACGGATATTTAAAATACACACACACACACACACACACAAAAAAATGTTATAAAACCGGAAACCATAAAATTCACTCTATAGAAAAAATTTATATAAATATAAAGTCAGGCACTGGAATGGCAGAGAGATTTGAATTAGGTCATAGGCTAATATTTAAACCTAAAAAAAAAACTAATAGGAAAATTACCGAGTAAATAATTTATAATATTAGTTATGTACATAACCGTTGACCAAACTATAATGTCAACAAATTCTTCAACACATTTTTTTTTTTTTTTTTTTTTTTTTTTTTTTTAGAGACACCCAGTCAAACAACAACAAAAAAATTTTTTTAAACATTTCTTCAATTTTATAAAAAAAAAAAAAAAAAAAAAGAAAAATTTAAAATCAAAAACATTATCTCGAGTGAAAAAGTCCCCACATAAACTTTTATATTCCATGCTGCATTTACTATTTTCCTTTTAAATGTATTTTATAAAAATTATTAGTATATCAAAACAATAAAAGGTGATATTTTATCATGATTTCCATAAAACTAAAAATATTAAAAAATAAATTATAATTGTCTTAAAATAAAGAAGACTGTGCTTGAAAGTAATTAAAAAATTTTAAGAAAATCAATAATTTATTTTTACTACTAGAAAATACTTTCGATGGGAAAACATTTTTTTTTTTTTTTCTAAAACAAAACTAATTTTTTTTTATCAAATTATTTGTGATTAAACTTTTAAATGATATTTTTAACAATGCCATTGTCTAAATCATTATTATTTAAAAATTTGCCTTTTTTTTTCATACTCGAATTTTAAATGATGTTTTTTTAATTTTTAAAATATTTTTAAAATAATTAAAGCGAAAAAATATATTCACACATTATAAAAATGTATATATACTGAAAAAAATAATATTAATAGTTTTAAAATATTAAATAATAAAGTAATTCTTTAATTTTATCGTTTGCAATTAAAAAAAATAAAAACAAACTTTTACAAAATCGAAATGCTAAAAAGGGCCTAAATAACTATTACAATTTGTTTTGTAAACAATTATTAAAAATTTGATTTGAGCTCCCTTCCTTTGAAACAAGTCATTTATCGAATCATTAAAATCAATTGAAATATTTAACGAATGTTGTTTATATAAATATATATCTCTCTATTATTCTTTATATTTTTAGAATGTAAATTTTAAAAAAAAAAAGTTTTAAAAATATTATTTTTTTTTAAAAAAAAACTTTTATAAAAAATGATCAAAGAAATAACTTTAGGGGGTTAAAAAAAAAAAACCCCCCCCTTTTTTTTTATTTTTATTTTGCCTATCCAATTACTTCTGCTTAATAGCTTGGAAGTTACCTTTGATAAATATTTCATTAGAGGATATACTGTCCTGACTGATTCAGAAATTAATATTTATTAATAGAAATACCATCAAGTTATAAAAATTTATTTGTTATCATTTAAATTAAAAAAAAAAAAAAAATGATACTTTTTATAATTTGATAAAAACATGAAAATTTAATCGTATTGTTAAAATGTTTCTGTTATTTATGCTGACAAGTTAGGTTTTTATTTTAGAATTAATTTTAAATTCAATTTTGTCAAGATTAGAATTAATGGCAGATATTCTTAGTCATTTACTTATGCATAATATCTCAATATGATAATGTAATCCGTAATTTTTTTACAAAGTTTTAATATAAAAACATCATGAAAAAAGCTTAAAAATAAAATTTAAAGGGGGAAAAGAAGAAAAATATAGATAATTTATAGAATTATTTTGTCTAATATTAGGAAAGAGCTACAAATTTAGGTCCCAATGCTTAAGTTGGCATCATGTAAATTGATAAATTTCATATTTTCACTTTAAAAAATGTGACCTAAACAATATTAAACATGAATATTTAAATGACATTTTAAATAACCTTTAATGTAAAATAGATCGTATCTTACATTAATAGATTAATTAAATGTTGATAATTTCATAAACAAAAGATATAAAAGCGGAATCATTAAAAATTTTTGTAACAATACATAAAAAAACATAAAAATACAAATATGTTGTGTTTACAATCATATTCCTACCTTATAAATGAAAATCAATTACTTATTAAAGAAGTTACACAAAAATAATAATGAATCTGAACACAAAAAATTGGATAAAACCAAAACAACTGATGTAAAAACTGACCCAAAATGGCTACTCCAAACGTATAGAAATGGCGTTTATAACCGGCTTCTATAACTTGAACAGTGCACTGTAAGAATAACCCGCAACGACTACAATGACATCTATTTCCGAAATATTATTACCGGAAACGGAAATTTATAGAACTATAAATTAAAGATATGAATTTTTTTGACTTCATAGTTAAAAACAAAAAAGTTAAAATTTTTATAAGTTTATTTAATAAATTTTTTGTTATTAAGAAAGTATTAGAATAATTTTTTTTTTTTATTTAAATGAGTAATTCTAACAAGTCAAAAAAGTCTTTATCTTTAAATTGTAATATTCGTATAACTGAGGAATATGATGTTGTGACATGTAAGAATTTTTAAGAAGTGAAAATACCCTTGAGTACGTTTTTAATAATTAATTATAATTTTCATTAACCCTTTCCTATTTGATAATATATGTAAATTTCTATGTATTTTAAAATATTTCTTTTTCCATTTTAGATCAAGATATACTATTGATGTCTGATAAAAATAGTGTAATCAAAAATGATCAAAATGATGGTATTAGTAATTTATTTTGTAAGAAAAACTTTTCTTTATATCAGTTTAAAGAAGAATGGAATGAATTATATGATAAAAATGAATTTAATTTTGAAGTGATTAAACAAAAATGCATGAATGGTAAATTACAAGGTTCTTATTTTAGAAGCCTTTGTTGGAGATGTTTACTAGGAATACTGCATAAACAGCCTGTACAGTGGCTTTGTCAGTTAAAAACATATAGACAGCATTATAATGAAGTATGTTTAGAGTTACAACATAACCCTTGGAATGTCAATATTGATTTGTCATATGATAATCCGCTGTCTCAAGAATCTGAAGTAAGGTACTTTTTAATAATTTACCTTTGGAAGAAATTTAAAATTATTAGATCCATCATTTTTAGAGCATATGGCAAAAATATTTTTGCGATGAAGAGTTAAAATCTGTTATTCTTCAAGATGTAAAAAGAACTTTTCCCGATTTGGAATATTTTCGTAATGAAGATGTTCAAAAAATTATGATTCGAATATTATTTTGTTATGCAAGGCAAAATCCATTGTTGTGTTATAGACAGGTAACTTTTTCATTAAAAAAATTTTATTTTTAACTAAAATGTAAATTTACCAAACTTTTTAACTCAGAAAATTCTTTTTTTTTTTTTTAGGGAATGCATGAAATTTTAGCTCCATTAATATTGGTGCTTCATTTAGATCATCAAGCTTTGCTTTGTGCTATGCAAAATAATTTAGACATCTGTGAAGATATAAAGGAAATATTGTGCCCTGAATATTTAGAGCATGATGCATACAGTATTTTTAAGAATGTTATGAGTCAAATACAATATAGTTATAATGTTAATTTGGTAATTAGTTACTTAATTAAAATTTTTCAATTCTTTACTATTATATGATAAAGCAAATTATGAAGGTTTTCTTCTATGGAAAAATAAATTAAAAAAATAATTTTAACTTTTATTTTACTAAATTTAAAGAACCATATTTTAGCTTTGCTGCTATGACTTTTATTTTATTTTTTAATTACAGAAAGACGACCATAAGACTGATCAAAATGAAGTTATAGAAAGATTGGAATATATTAAAAATTACATATTTCAACCCAAAGATCCAGAACTAAGTGCTCACTTAGATAAATTAGACATACCAATGCATTTATATGGAATGTATGTTTCCATTAATTTTACTTAAAAAAATAATTTTAAATGATTATAATACCAAAATAATAATAAACTTTAGTTTTTAATTTTAAGAAAATTAGTTTGTTATAAATATTAATTGTAAAATTTTTATCAATTTACAAAGTAGTAATAATTATTATCAAACATCTTATTTTGATACAATTTATATAATTTTTAATTTTTTAGAAGGTGGTTAAAGCTACTTTTTGGACGTGAGTTTCAGTTAAAAGACTTGCTTGTATTATGGGATTTTCTTTTTTTTAATAATTTAGAGTATGTTAATTATGTGGTAGTTGCCATGCTTGTAGCAATTCGACAGACTTGTGAGTAGTTCAATATTCTTTTTAAAAAGCTTGGAAAAAATTAAGATATAGATTTTTTTATTACTTTTTTAAAAAAACATTTGGATCTTTTATTATTTCATAAGTAATGCATTATAAAATTGATAAGATTTCAATTATTATTATGTTTTTTTTTTGTTTTCCAGTGTTAAAAGAAGATTACAATACATGTTTATGCACATTAATGAAATACCCCAATGGAGTTAATGTAAATTGGATAATGGCTTATGTTTTACATTTGAAAGATCCTAAAAAATATCCAGTTCCTGATTTTGCACAAATGACACCGATAATTAATAAAAAAGAAAATAAAACTTTGTTTTCTTCTATAAATAAAAGGTTAGAATAAATTTATACATGTAACTTTTGTTACAAGTTGTTATGAAAGCACATTAAAATTATTTTATTTTAGGTTAAGAGGAGAATCTTTTAAACAGTTAAAATGGTTTTCGACAAAACAAAACTTTCTCAAACTAAAGCAGAATGGAGATGGAGATGATTTTATAGTTCATGAATTTGTTCCCAATGTAAGATTTAATTTTTATTCAATTTATTTTTATTATCGTTGTTTTTTTTTAATTGTATGAATTATTTTTAGAAGTCAGGATATCCAGAAATCGAATTGCAACAAATTAAAATTCTATTAGGGTTGGTTAATCACAAACTTCTTCATTATCATTCGGTTTTAAATAAAAGTATTGTAAATAATGTAAATTTAAATTCTGATGTTAAATTGATAGTTGACGATATTTATGAGGTGAGTTTCATAACATGAATAATTATCGCTTATTTTTATGTTTAAATATTTAATTTTTATCAGACAGTTTGAATATATATTACTTCTTATCTTTCGCTAAAAGAAGCACAATATTTTAGCATGACTAATGTTTTAAAAAATTGCAAATTGTAACGATAATTTTTTTTTTGTTTAGCTTTCTCATCTCCTTAAAAAATATGATGTCTATGAAATAGAAACAGCTTGCGAAGCAGATGAAGATAAGGAGTTTGTTTCAAGTTCACATTTACCAAATGAATTTTTAGAAGAAGAAGTGAAACCATTAAGTGCAATAAATTGGAAAAATAGATCTCACACATTACCAAAGATAAAAAAGGAATAAAAGAAAAAGTAAAGACGTAGAAAAAGCCCCCCCCCCCAAAAAAAAAAAAAAAAAGGTGCTTTGTGAGAAGTGCCTGAGAGACTGATTCGTTCGTTGCATACTATTATTAGATAATCAATTGTTTTTTTTTTTTTTTAAAAACCGAAAAATAAATTTTCTTAATTAAGATTATTATTATTATTATTACAAAAAATTAAAAAGAAATTATTATAGACTGAAGAGAAAAGTGGCGGAGTCATCACAAAACAATTATTTTATTTTTTTAAACTTATGGATGCAATTATTACTATAAAATAAGGGGGAAAAAAAAAAAAACAAAATGTCAATTTCCAAATATGCGATTTATTCTTTTTTTTTTTTTTTTTTTTTCAAGTAAATAATTGAAATACATTAGAATATTTATATATAATACGGTATATTAATATGACATAATAATTTCAAAATTATAAAAATTATTCACAAAAAGAAATTTTTAATAAATAAAAAAAAAAGGGGGATATTAAGGTATAAAAGTATAATAAAATAATAATTATGTGATTTGAATAGAAAAACTTATTTTTATGAGTATCAAATTTTTTTTTAAATAAATTAATTATTAAAATATTATATTAATAATGATATTAAACAAAAAAATATTCTTTAATTCATTAAAAATATATATATATATATATACCGAGGAACTTAAAATTTAATTAATTCTTTAAAAAGTAATCAAATTGACATTTAATAAAAAATAATTATTTTTTAAAATAAAAATAAATATTTATATATTATAAAAAGTTATAAAAGCATAAAAATTTTTTTATTTTTTTTGTAAAAAAAAAAAAAAAAAAAAAAGTACAAATAGATTAAATAATTTTTTTTCCGAATGATTTTTACTATTATTATTATCGTTCAATTAATTTTTCAAAGACTTAAATCATTATTAATATGAAAAATACAGAAATAATAAATAAAAAATTTATAAAATATTTTTTTATTAGATAAATGTTGTAAAATATAAAAAATTATGTGATGCATATATAAATATATAAAAATTAGAATAATAATAATAATAATAAGCAGTTTTATAAAATGTAGATATTTTACTTAAAATTACTAAAACTACTGAAAATTATTTTTAAAAATTTAAATAGAGGTATTACATTGGTAAAATTCATGTTTTATGGTTATATACAAATGATTACACCACATACAATACTGAAAATTATTACTTTTTTGTTATTTTAATACTTTTTATGTATAGTCAGTCTTGAATTTTGGAACAAAAAAAAAAATATAAAAAAAAAATTTAATCTATTGCACCTTTTCTTGCAAATGCAGCAATTGAAGACATTTCACTTGCTTCTGTTGGCAATCGACTAAATTCAATTTCCTCATTATTAACAGAATAAGTATCATGATCAGTGGGCCACTGTTTATGTGAGGGAGCATAAAGAACAATAAGTGAAAATATGTAAATATTCCACATTCCGTAAACGCCGGTAAAAAAAGCAGATGTGTACTTTATACTATGATCATCCCATTTCCACTGATCCTCGGATACCTGTCCCAATATATATCCAATAACTGTCATAGCCGCACAAATAAGAGTAGCCAACATGAGAAATTTAAACCTGTATATGATACCCTCATAATGCAACCTTCTAACTGCCGACATGGCAGGAAGTACTGCTTTTTTCGCACTGATATTACAAAATACTTTCCAAATGAGATAAGTCAAAAATATGAAATAAAAACATGCACAAATTCCAGCTAAGACGATAAAAGTTAGAGCAAAATTTGCGCCAATTTCTGTGGCCCAAGTAGAATAAAATGGATTTGTCAACTGCATGCCTCTTTCACACATATCGAATATAAATAATGAAACACAACCTATAGCAACAGCGCTTAAATGTTTCCAATAAGTTTTCAATGTACTTTTTTCATTTTCATTTATCATTAAATGCTCTCCTGCAAAAATTAGCCAAAAAGATAGTAAAGCACCATAAAAAATGCCTTGTTTAATATCTCCTAAAATTAACATGTAAGGCATGTCAAACATTAAAGTTAAATATTCCAAAGGAGTGTTTAATAATGTCAATGTGATACCTAAAAATAAGAGCATTTTTTCTAACAAAGCAGGCTCTCTTTGAAGCTGATAAACTCTTTTCCAAAACCATACCATTATACCGATAATAAACGGAAAGAATATTGTCTTTAATGATACCCAAATTTTAGTAAAACCCCCATTTTGATTAATAACAACTAGCCATAATTCAGCGACATGACCTAATCCTACATTTATTTTTTTTTCAGAATCTACTGGAAATCTAACATTTAATAAATAATAATCGTGATGTAAAGATCCCAGTTCAAAAAGTGGAACTATGGAACAATCATACTGGTGACCCTCTCTTTTGTTTACAGCATTACAATCTAATAAGCGAGTTTCAGTAGAAGAAGTAAGATATTTCCAATCATTGTCTGGATCCCCTTTATTCCTATATGCTAATTTTGCATCAATTGTTATTACAGTTCTTGGCTTCATTTCAAACTCTTTATGATAAGTGATGCCGGCTTGTAATACGCCAATGAGATTTTGCTGCCATCTCGAGTAATCAAGTACAATTGAATCTCTAGGAAGTGGTAATTGAAATACAAATACAATTTCATTAGCGGTAAATTTATCCCCAGTATCAATCCTTGTATTTCTTAAATCAATTGGTTGACATGCCCCTACACCCCTAGAATATAACCATTTACTAGAATTTTTTTCATAATCCAAGCAGTTAGTAGCTAAAACCATTGAAGCACTGGCTGGACTCGGTGCTATTAAACCACCAATTAAAAAACATATTATTTGACAAATGAGCAATATAGTCATGAGAATACCGAGTTTTCGTCCGCTCAAATTTTCAACAATTGCTCCCGGCATTATGACACCACTTTTAAATTACAACTAAAATACCGTAAACTAAAATAACTAAAATATTTAAAAGTTTTATTCTATAAACATTTAACCTTAACAAACTAAAATAAAAAATAATTATATAATGAGTTTCTAAATACAAAATATAAAGAAAAATAATTAAAAACGACTTTACTACACAATGACAACAAACTATTTCATAGAGTAAATAAATTAATGGCTTTATAATTTTCTTGGTGGAGGTGTTAAATAAACGTTAAATTTGTATTTTTCTTTTTACTTATTATATTTTAAATGAATAATTTATAAATTACTATTATTACGGTAGAAAAAATGATACTGAATTATATACAATAATTTTTTAAACGGATTCATTATCAAATTTATTCAGAAATAATTTTGCAAATTAATTCAAATTAACTGCAAAAAAAAAAAAAAAAAATGAATCAAAAGTTCAATTGTTTTATGAAAAATCACTTGTCAGCAATTAAGTTTTACAGTGCTTTTGTTGATGTTATACACTTAATAAAAAATTCATTCAAACTTCATATTTTAAAAATGTATTTTGTTTAAAAAAAAAAAGATTAACATAATAATATTAAATAAACATATAAATATTAACAGGAGTTAATTTAAAAAAAGGATAAAAAGGATTTAATGGTGAATTCGGATACAAAAAAAAAAAAAAAAACACGCTGCACAAAGTAGTAAGTATAAATTTTAAAATAAAATTAATATTAACGTTTTTTTTTTTTTTTTTTAATTCGTAAATACTTTATTAATAACACATTATAAAAGTTTAATTTTAAAAATTTTAAATCAGTACATTGATATAATAAAGATATAATATATAAGAGTAGTACCAAAAATTAATAATTACAGTTAAACAAGATAACTTGTGTCAAATAAATGAATATCTAATCATTTTAATAATTTTTAAAAATTTTAAACGTTTAATTTTAAATATTATATTTAATTTTATAATGAAATTAAATCATCACTTGCATTATTTCTAACCTTACTTTTAAATTTTTTAAACCATGTGGGAGCATTCTATTACATAACACTTTAAAATAAAATTTTGCATTTCAATTGTTTGCCAAATGAAATTTAATTAAAAGTTCTTTTTAATATAAAATAATTCTTCAACTTTTAACTAATTATATTTAATAAAATAAAATTGGCATCGGGTTATTTTTTAAAATTTTTAAAGGAAAAAAAAAATAAATTTTTGTTATTATGTGTAACCTTAGGAATCCGTTAATATTTGGCGGTATTTATTTTGAAAAAATAATAAGAGAGAATTGTTCATGGTATTAATGTTGGTAAAGTTTTGAATACGATTTATTCTTATGTTTACCTTATGTCTTCATATAAAAAGTTCGTTATTATTTTATTTTGTTATTTAAATTAATAATTAAAATATTTAGTTTTGTGAAAATTTAATTTGTTTAAATGACAAATGAAAGGAATACAAATTTATTTTGGTAACGTATCGGATTATAATAAACTTTTAATCTCGATTGAAAACAAAAAAAAAAAAAAAAAAAATTAATCGTTTGATCGGTGAGAGTAATAATGGCGTCAGTTTAAGTCTGATCATTGAACGGTCTGTGAGTAGACCAACATCGACTAGTAGGTGTTGGTCTTGAGCGGTGAGTCATTGTAACTGAAATGTTTAATTTTATAATATTATTATGATATTTAAAAGTTTTTTGAAATAATTTGTTAAATATTTATTAATAAATAAAATATAGCTCGAGTTAAAAATGAAAAAATGTCGCTCGTGATTTACACTTATGGGTTCGCTATATTTCTTTTTGTTTTTTGGTGTGGGATTTGGATAATGCACGTTTTAGCAATATCTTACGGAAAGTGGAAGTTTCATAAAAAAGTTAAAAAAAGACCTCTGGAACAGCCATTACCGGGAGTTTCTATACTGAAACCATTACTAGGAGTGGACCCAAATTTATATAGTAATTTAGAAACATTTTTCAATCAAGATTATCCATCTTACGAATTATTATTTTGCATCGAAGAAGATAGTGATCCAGCAATAATGATTGTTAAAAATTTAATTGAAAAATATCCCCAAATCGATGCTAAATTATTTATCGGTGGTAAGAACATAGGAGTTAATCCGAAAATAAATAACATGTGTCCAGGATATGATGCTGCAAAATATGAACTTCTAATGATTTCTGATAGTGGGATAAGAGTAAAATCAGACACTTTACTCGATATGGTAAATCACATGAAAGAAAATGTTGCTCTTGTTCACCAAATGCCTTTTACTCATGACAGGGATGGTTTTCCAGCTGCTGTTGAAAAAATTTATTTTGGAACATTTCAAGCGAGAATTTATTTAACAGCTGATATTCTCGGTATCACATGTCATACTGGAATGTCTTCGTTATTTAGGAAAAAAACACTCGATGAAGTCGGTGGATTAAAAACGTTTGGAATTTATTTAGCTGAGGATTTTTTTTTATGCAAATCATTAACTGACAGAGGTTGGAAATCAACAGTATCAAGTCAGCCTGCTTTACAAAACTCTGGCTACTGCAGAATCGATAGTTTTCAAGAAAGGTTAACAAGGTGGTCGAAATTAAGGTTAGCCATGGTGCCAACCACAATTATTTTTGAACCTTTATCAGAATGCATTATATTGGGTTTATTGACATCATGGTCTGTGCAGTTTCTATTCGACTGGGATCCAATAATATTTGTGCTTTTGCATATGCTTGTATGGTTTTTGCTCGACTGGTTAATGTTATCAATTGTTCAAAATGGATCTTTACCATTTAATAAATTAGAATTTTTAATCGGATGGATTATAAGTGAAATATCTGGTCCTGCTATTATACTCAGGGCATTATGGGATCCAGTGGTTAGATGGAGAACTAGAACATTTAGACTTAAATGGGGAGGAGTTGCGGAAGAAATAAAACCAAAAATTAAGGTATAATTTTTTTTTTTTTTATAAACATTTCCATTCCAGTGTGAATTTAGTTTAAAGCATTTGTTAAAAAAAATAACTAATAATTATTCGATTAATTGACTCAATACATTAAATTAAAATTTAAGTAGTTTAAATTTTTAAAATAGGTTTTATTAAAGCCAATTACCTTTGATGTGTGGGCATCAAGTAATTTTTTTTTTTTTTTTTTTCTTTTTCAAATTAATAATTTTTTTTATTCTTAATTAAAAATTTAGGAAAATTTCAAAATATAGATATCGAGAGGTAGAGTTTAATTTAAAAAAAAAAAAAAAAAAACAATACATTGAATTATTAAGTTTTTCATTTAAACCTGATTATTATTATTATAAAATATTTTTTATCATAAATCTGTTATAATTATTAGGTAATCTAATAGAAATGTGAATACATTTATCTTTCAACAATGTATAATATGTATCTTTAAACACTTTTGTTGTATTGTATAAAATACTTCTATGAATACATATCACTTTACTTTATATCTACTACTTTATAATTAAGTCAGTTGATATATTTGATTTCTTCATATAATATAAAAAAGGAAAAAAAAAAAAAACAATTGTAAATTTATCACATTTGAAATCAAATTTTTTTTTTTTTTTATTTTTAAATTTACTACAAAATTCAATTCTATAAAGATTAAAAAGGCATTATTATTAAAACATAAATTAATTAATTAATAAATTTTGGAAAAGTATAATATTTAAATCCGCATTGACGCGATTTAAATCTGTCAAAAATTATTGTTATTTAATCAAAATTTGATGTGTATGTTTAATAACTGTAAATAAATAAATTAGTCATTTTCCAAAATTGGCTTTCCAGTATTACAAAAAAAAAAAAAAATTCTAAATTAACATTTATTAATAAATTAATTTATTTCAATAATAATAATAATAATAATGACTATCTTTTAATAATTTATTTAATAATAAATTCAAAAAAAATTAGTTTTTCTGCTTTCTTAAAACTATTCAGTGATTATTTTTTTTTTTTTTTTTTTTTTACTACAATTCATTCACACAATATGAAATATTAATATATATATTTATTTATATATTAAAAACGACTGCAATGCCCATCGTTATATAAAAAAAATTATATTTTAGTTATTAATTAAATTTTACTTATTTATTAAATTTTTATACTTAATTTTTTTTTTTTTTTTTTTTTTTTATAAAAGGGCACATCACTCACTAAAATGAAATTTTTTTTGTCTTTTTTGTTTTTTTTTTTTTTTTTTTTTTAATGTAAAAATGTTAAACAATTATTTTTTATTTTTTTAAAATAATTTTGAATCCCCAAAAACAAAATAATCAAACGTTTCAATTTATTATTATTATTATTATTATTATTATTTTTAATTATAAATTGGTTATTATTTAAATGTAATTAAAAAACCATTTTTTTCGTTCGTTCGTTTATTTATTTATTTACTTTTTTTTTTTTTTTTTTTGGGTGTGCTATTATTATTAAAAAAAAAATGTTTTAACCAAATGGGGTAATATTAATAAATAGTTTTGTTAAACTTAAAAAGAGAGAGAAAGAGAGAGAGAAACCTTAAGGTACATCATTTCAAGGTATAAAAAATTCAATTATAATATTATATTTAAAGTTTTATAATTTTTTTTTTTTTCATTCACTCACTCACTCACTCAATTATGTAATTAATTAATTAATTAATTAAAAACAAAAACGATCAATTATTTTTTTTAATATAAATAAATAAATAATCGCCCCTTTAAAGTACTTTTTTTTAATAATAAATTTATGTATGTAATAAATAATAAAAAAAAAAAAAAAGAAAAAAATTAAATTTTTATTTTAAATAAAAAAATAAATTTACTTAAAAAAAATTTTCATAATAAATTCAATATTTAATATTATATAAATATATTATAATCATTTTTATTATAAATTTTTTTTTTTTTTTTTTTTTTTTGTATGACTTTTTAATCAATAATCGTTTTGTTAATATTTTTTACTTATAATTAATTGTTTTAATAATTGTGGGTTTAGTTTAATTTAAAAAAAAATTAAATTACAATTCAATTATAAAATTAAATCACAAAAACAATATTTTGTTTATTTAACTTTTAATAAATTATTTTAATAAAAAGAAATGCTTATTATTATTATTATTATTATTATTATATTACACAAATATATAATTTTCATAATGTAATGTATATGTAAACACATTTGTTACTTTAAGGGAATAAAAAACACAAAAATGTATTTATTATTATTATTATTATTATTATTATTATTATTATTATTATTATTATTATTTTATACTAATTAATTAAACCGAAAGAAAAGGGAAAAGGGTTTATTATAATTATAAAATTTTCTAAAGTTTTTTTTTTTTTTTTTGTTTAGTTGTTGTCATTTTCTTTTGTTTTCTTTTGTTTTTGGATCGTATCGAATTTTTATTCATTAAACGGAAAAAAAATAAATAAATAAATAAATAAATAAAAAATCTGTAAGAATTTTGTCTCGTGACACGTTAAAAAAATTGTTATGTCAGAATACATATATATTTATCGATTTAATTAAATTATTAATAATTAATATATAATTGAATTGTATATGAATCAATCAATCAATATTTTTTTTTTCGTTCTGCTATCTGGAAATAGGGATGGGAAAGGGATAGGGAAAAGGAAAAGGAAAAGGGGATAGAAAGAAAATAATTTCAGATGTAATAAGAATAGGTTTAGAAAAATAGGAAAATTCGTGTTTTAGTTTTTTGTAAATTTTATTTATTTATTTATTTATTTTTTTTTTTTGTCTTTTATTTGCTTTTTTATCACGATTAAAAAAACTAAACCCATGACCTCTTTTAATTTTCAAATTTTATAAACAATAAAATTTAAACTTTTAATTTTTTTTTTTTTTATTTATTCTCTTAAAAATGTTTTTTTTTTTAAAATAAATAAATTTTTATACTTACACGTTTCCAACATATTTAATTAAATGTAAACACATGTATTTTTCTTTGTTAATGACACTGCTAAATGAAAATAATAATAATAATAATGATAATGATAATAATAATAATATAATTGTAATATAATTATTAAAGACTGTTTATAAATTATTATGTTATTTTATGCTTTTTTTTTTTTTTTTGTTTCTCATTGTTACATCTAGTCAAAAAATGTGTGTTTTTTTTTTTTTAAATTTCTGTTCTCGTGAATCAATCAAAACATGAATTATAATTATTATTAATAATAAATTTATATTTTAAAAAAATAAATAATAATGATGATAAATAAATAAATAAATAAATAAATAAATTTTTTGATTACTATTAAATTTTTAATTATTTGTCATTAATTACTCTAACTCACCGATCAAATTTTTTTTTTTTTTTTTGTTTACATTTAACAACATGATATTAATAATAATAATAATAATATCAATCATAATGATAATATAGATTTCTATTGGAAGAATAATGATGATAATAATAATTTTACTACAAGTTAATTTCCAATTGAAAATCTTTCTCGGAGAAAATTTTTTTTTTTTTTTTATTAAAGAATATTTCGTTTAATGATGTAAAATAATAATGATAATAATAATAATAAATACTATATTTCGTTGCATGTTCGTTATTTATTATTGATTCTTATTATTATTATTATTATTATTATTATTACAAATTTTTTTTTTTGAAATTGCCTTGGATAAATTTTTTTTTTTTATTTTTCCACAATCGGATTTTTGACGTGGAAAAATTTTTTCTTGTCATTTTCTTTTTTTTTTTTTTTTTTTTTTTTAGATTAAAATCGATTGAAGCTTTTCGAAAAAGAAAAAAAAAAAAAAAGAAAAACTGGGTTATCATGTTTCCCGGGGAATTTTTTTTTTTTTTTTTTTTTTTTTTAAAGAAAAACTAAAAAAAACGAAATTTACAGTAATGACATTTAAGAAAAAGAAAAAAATTTTTTTTTTTATTTCTTTTGTTTTGTTTGTTTCGTTTGTTTGTTTTTTAATACGTAAGAAAATATATTAAACATAATCATTATTAACGTCGTCCGATAACCCAAAAAAATTTTTTTTATTAGTTATAACCGGAAGTTATATATATTGAAAATTTATTTTTGATTAGATTTTCGACCTTTTGATTGATTTTAAATAACAAAAAAAAAAAATTATTAAAATAAAATTTAGATTTTTATAAATTTGTAATTATTATTTGCAAATGTCGTTGCCCCCCCTTTTTTTTCTTTTTTAACAAATTAAATTTGTAAATATTGATTTTGTTCAGAAAAAAAAAAAAATGTTACGTTTGTTAAATAATTTATAAAAAAATTTTTAAAAAGTTACAAAAACGAACGAATTTAATTTAATGAGGTTATTGTTTCGATAATAAATCAAACATTTGGACATTTAATTTAATTTGAATGTTTTTTTTTTTTTTTTTTATCAATTATAGATATTAGTATAAATTTAATAATTGTTACTAATATGATAAAATTGTCACAATTCAAGGTAATATTACTAGAATAAAAAAAAAAAAACAATAGAAGAAAGCAACCATTAAAAAATGGATCATTTCAATGGATAATTTTTTTAGTTTTTCAAGGTTTGATTTTATTTAAAACAAACGTTAAAACAAACGTTTTATAACAGTTTTTTTCTGCAATATTAATTTTTTAAATTATGGTTAATCATGAAATCCTTGTTAAAAAAGGGAAAAAAAAATTGTCTTAAAGTTTTTTTTAAAAAAAAGAAAAGTTTTTGTAAATTTTTTAACAAAAAGATAGAAAACCCTCATTAAAAACTTTTGTGATTTATCTACAAATTTTCGAAAACGACGACGACGACAACGACGACGACGTTAATCAATGTTTAAACCTTTTTTTTTTTTTTTACTTATCCAACCAAATATTATTAATTTTGTAAAATGAATAAACGGTAGTAATAATAATAATAATAATGGATATTTTACCTGCAATATATCTGTCACACTCACTTCCTGTATTGGAGTAACATTTAAACGATTTAAATATGGTTGCAAAAATTTTTTTTTGTATAATAGAATAATTGGAAATAATCGAATATTGCATGATGATGATGATGATGATGATGATGATACATACGCCTTTGCAAATATTTTTCTTATGCAGATTACAAAAAAAAAATTTTACATAAGAATAAAAATAAAACAAAACATGATGCCAATTTACAACATTAGATTTTTGCATTTAAATAAATTTTTTTGATTTTATTTTTTTAAAATTTATATTAACAAAAAAAATTTTTTTTTTTTATTTAAACAAATTTGTCTAAGTTTTATTTATTTATTTATAATTGATTCAAGTTCGAGAAATTTCGATAATGTCGATAATTTATAAAAAAGAAAAAAATGAGTTAGAAGAGTATATTATATATTTATTACGGAGGAAAATAAATTTATTTTATTTTATTTTTTTTTTAATTTTTATTAACAAAAAAATAATTTTTTTTTTATTTAAACAAATTTGCCTTAATTTTATTTATTTATTTATAATAGATTCAAGTTCGAGAAATTTTTATAATGACGATTATTTAAAAAAAAATATCAGTTAGAAGAGTAAATAATTATTACGAGGAGAAAAATTTTTTTTTTATGTAGAATTTTCGTTATAAATATTTCGTTCGTAATGACAAGAAATGAAAAGTTATATAAATTACGTAATGCGGAGAGTAATGGTAATAAAAAAAAAAAAAATTTTTTTTTCTAGAAACTTCGTCATCGATAATTAACGTTTAAAATAAAAAATGAAAAATTGCGACAATTTGCGAAAAAAAACGCAATAAATTTTTTTTTTGTCATCGTCGTCGTCGTCGTTTGTCGTTTGTCATCGTTTGTCGTCGTTTGTCGTTGTTTTGTACAAAAAAACAAAAAAATTTATTTACGTGTTGAATTAAACACACAATCTGAATTTTCTCCATTTAAAAAAAAAAAAAAAAAAAAAAAAACACTTTAGCCAACAGTGTTGTTGTTGTTGTTGTATAGTAGTCGATATCTCGTGACTGTTTTATTGATAATAAAAAAACACACACACATTCTTTCATTATTATTATTATTACTATTTTGATAAAAAAATTTTAAAAACAAAGTAAATAATAATAATAATAATAATTGAAAACGTTATGATGTCACAGGTAATTTTTTTTTTTAATAAAGAAAACAAAAAATGGGTCGGTTTAATTAATTAATTGAAAATTATATTTAATTTTTTTTTTTTTTGGGGGGGTAAGGGAAGGATGGGGAGGGAGGAGAGAGAGAAAGGGAGGGGGGGGGGGAAATTTTTTTTCTTATCTCCCGTATTGTTTTTTTAAAAAAGAAAAACTAACCGTTTTTAAATGTTTGATTTTTTTTTTCTTTATACGGTTTGATTTTAATAGGAATTTTTTTTTTTTTTTTTTTATGGGTTAGCGATTGCGAGTGCGTTTAAAAAGTTAATTAATTTTTTCTTTTTTTTGTTTTATTTTATTACGTAATAAAATTTTAATTTGTTTCTTTTTTTTTTTTTAACCGAGACTTAATTAAATAATATTCAAAAAGGAAAAAGAAAAAAAAGGAAAAAAAGGAAAAAAAAAGAAAAAAAAGAAAAAATTACGTGTCAGGTAACGTGATATTTTTTTTAATATCGTTGATTACTTATTAAATTATTATTATTATTATTTAAATTCGTATGATGATATGATTATTCTTATGTATTATTATTATTAAGTTTTAACGAAACGGTGCGTTGTAAAAGTTGACAAAAAAAATATTAATAATAATAAGTGCAAATTTTTTTTCAAACATTTCACCTGTTTTTTTTTTTTTTTTTACTCTCTTATCACGTTAACGCCTTTTAAATTTTTATCACGTTGGATTTAAACAAAAAAAAAAAAAAAAAAAACATGTTAATTGTTACAGATAAGTGAAAAGGTATTTTTCTAGAAAGAAAAAAAAAAAAAGGAAAAAAAATTACACACGTAATGTAAAAATGCCAAAATACGTTTGGAATAATTTAAAAATAAAAAAGGATTTAAATACAATAAAAATTGATTTTGCACTTTTAATATTAAATCAACCTATAACATGTGATCCGGAATTTATTAAAACCTTATGGACGAAAGGTAAATTTTAAATAAAAAAAATCATGATTAATAATAATAATATTTTATATAATTAATTTAAAAATTTTACAGGTCACCGAAATAATAAAAAAAAAAATTGTTTTAAAGTGAAAATTTATAAAATAAAAAAAAAAATGGAGAATGAAAAATGGAGAAGAGCAATTTAGTTTGTTTTGTTTTTTTTTTTTTTTTGTATTTTTTCCAGCTCAGATTCGCGGTTTGGTCGATGGCGGATCGAATAGATGGTTGGATTTTATTAAAGAACAAAATTGTGAAAATTTACAACTTCCAGATTTCATTTCCGGTGATTTCGATTCAATACTACCGGAAACTAAAAATTATTTCGAAAGTAAAAATGTTACACTCGTACCGACACCCGATCAAAATTACACGGATTTTACAAAAGCTTTAAAATATATAAAAAAAGAAATCGAAGAAAAAAATTTAAACGTGAGTTTTTAGCTTTTGGAGAAAACAAAATAATAATAATAATAATAATAATAACGGATTTTTTTTTTTTTTAAACCCACATTTAGGTCAAAAATATATTTGTCATATGTGAAAATGGCGGTCGTTTCGATCAAATAATGGGTAACGTAAACACGTTGCATTGTTCCATCGATTTATATACACACATTGATATAACGTTAATATCCAGCGAATCCGTCACGTGGGTATTACCACCTGGAGAACACGTGATAAATGTACCTGATTATTTTATTGAAAAAAAATACACTTGCGGTTTGATACCGTTTCGAGGTGGTACAATAATAACAACCAGAGGTTTAAAATGGAATTTGAGTAAGTTTATTTAAAAAAAAATTTTTTTTTTTTGATTATTTAAAAACCGATGAATGATAATAATAATAATTACTGTATTTTTATTTTTATTTTTTTTTTTAGATAAAACCGTCAGCGAATTTGGTAAATTGATAAGTTGTTGTAATTTATATTCGTCGAATGAAATTTACGTTAAATGTAGCAAACATTTATTATGGACATCAGAATATTGTTAAAAAAAAAAAACGTTACAAAATTTTTTTTTTATATAAAACCTTGAAAAGTTATTAACTCATTGTTAATTAACGATTTCTTAACATAATCGAACATCCATATTGTTAGTAACATTAAATTCTTTCTCGAAATTTTTTTTTTTATTTAAAACAAAAAAAAAAGTTTGTTTTTTTTTTTTTGTATGATTTAAAATGTCGCTGGCGATTTTGTCACAAAAAAAAAAAAAAATTTAATTTGTTTGTTTGTTGTTGTTGTTGTTGTTAACAAATACACAAAATATAACACAACAAACAATCACCATGAGAAAGTTTTAAAAGAAAAAAAATTGTATAAAACGTTTGTCGTTTTTGTAATTTTAATAGGATAAAAAAAATTATTATTATTATTATTATTATTATTATTATTATTATTATTATTATTTAATAGAAATGCTGCAATAAATATTTTATTGATTTAATGATATCAAATTTTTTTTTTTTTTTTATAACTTTTAATTGCCATTGATTTATCAACGATAATGAAACTTGGGGTAAAGGAAAAAGTTTTTGTTTGTAAACATTAATAAATCCACACACAATATCTTAATTATAAATAATAAATAAAAAAAAAAAAAAACAATAAAAATTATTATTATGTTTAAATATTTATATAAATAAAATAAATAATGGCTAAATTTCATTTCTTATTTATTAAATTTCTTTTAAAAAAAAAAATATATGAACAAAACATAAACATGTTTATTATTATTATTTATTTTAAATAATAAATTTTTATCTTGAGTAAAATTGAGCATAAAATTTATGAATAATAATAATAATAATAATAATTGTTATAAACAAATTTAATTGTTGGTTTCGATTATAAATGTTTTAAATTTTATTTTGTTTTTAATAATTTTATATAATATATAATTATGTTTATAATATATATATATATATATATATATTGGATGATAGAAAGGTAAATTTTTTATTAATTAATTAAATAAATAAATTAATTAAATAAATTTTTGTGTCACTGTGATGTAATAAGTATAATTAAGAGAAAAACGTTATGGTTTGTCTTTTGTTTTTTTTTTTTTTTTTTTTTGTTTAGGAATGATCTAGAAGTTTACATCACATTTTTTTTTTTTTATTCGAACGAACAATCATCCTCGACATTTATTCGACCCTAAATTTTTATTTTATTGCATTTAAATATTAATAAAAAAAAAAGTAAATAAATAAATAAATGATGCAGCCTTTTTTTTTTTTTTTAAAACTTTGTTTTCAACATTTTATTTATTTATTTATTTATTTATTAGTTTTAATTTATTTATTATTATTATTTAGTTAATTTGATATCGTTTTAAAAAATCGTTAATCATTTTATAATAAAATTAAGTTTTTTTTCTAACCCGAAAATTATTTTAATAATAAGAATGGTGCTGTAACAAAAAAAAAAAAAAAAATTTAAATTTTGACGCCGCCCTCTTTTTTTTTTTTTTTTTTTTTTTTTTAACGTTTATAAATATAAACGAATAATGAAAATTGTTTTTTAGTAAAATGAATTTATATTAAAATTTTTTTTGAAAATAATAACAAAATAAAATAAAATAGAAATTTATTTTCCAGAAAATTCTATGAAGAATAATAATAATAAAAATATAAACATGAACATAAATATGGGGAAATAAATGACGCTGATTGGTTATTTCCGTGTTGGCGGTTATCGTCAGTCCCCAGCTGTTTGACTGTTTAGTTTGTTCGAGAACGGAAATCGAGACTCGTTCTTTTTAAAAATTAACCGTCAGTCAATAGAAAAATAGAAAAAATTTTAATTATGGGATGATAATATTTCATTTATTAATAAGTAAAAGTTTTCAAATTAATAAATAATTTATTTATTCGATAAAAATTTGAAAAAAAAAAAAACGTTTTTTTTCGTTATAAAAGTCATGATTTAATATAAACAAAATGTAAGAACTAAATTTTTTTCTTTTTTATTATTATTATTAATATTTTTTAAATTCTAAACGTCTGAACGAACGAATTGTTTAATTTATTTTTTATTATTATTATTATTATTATTATTATTATTATTTAAAAAAAAAAAAAACGAAAGACCAATTTTGATACAAAAGCATAATAAATGCCAATTTTTTTTGCGTTTTGATTTTGTTTTTAAAATTTTTTGTAACGTTTTTTTAATAAGATCTTATTTAAATTTAAAATAATAATAATAATAATAATAATTAAAGTTTTTTATTAAAACAATCAGATAATAATAATAATAGTAATAATAATGATGACAAACAGTGGCATATGGTCATCTGTAATGATTTTTTATCTAAAAATAACTATCCTGTTTGACAGTTATTATCATTATCATTATTAATGCCGCAGTTGTATTTTAATGAGAGTTATGTAAATAAAAAATACATTATTTAAAAAAATTTCAATAAAAAATCCTTGGAAAACGGGTTACGTAAAAAATTAATAAATAATTTTTTTTTTGTTTTGAGGGGGGGGGGTAGGTGAAAGAACAAAAAAATCAATAGGCGTTTATTTATCATTATTATTATTATTATTATTATTATAAACACTTTATTTATTTATTTATTTATTTTTTTTAAATTTATGTTATTAATTCAAGCTTTATTCCCTCTTTTATTAATGTAAAAATCTTAAAACAGTTTTTTTTTTGTTTTAAATAAAATTATCTGTGACGTTATCAGTTTTCGTTTAGCAGATCAAGGTCTTCAATTTTCATTGATTTTCGATTCCACACTCACTGTAGAGTTCATGTTATTATTACAAAAAAAAAAAAAAAAAAATGTTGTCGTGGCCTTCAAAATTCTGGACACGTATATAGTTCGTGACCCCAATATTTGATTCACATTGTTATTGTTACCCCCCTCCCTCCCTTCTCCCCCCCAAAAAAAAAAAAAAACAAATTTTTTTCCATAACAATTAATTAACCTCATAACTGTGGGGTTTGTTTTGCTTTTTTTTTTTTTTTTTTTTTTTTTACAACAATTTAATTTTGATACTAACCGATAAATTAATAATAATAATAATAATAATAAAATAAATTCACATTATTATTATTATTATTATTATTATTATTATTATTATTTTTTAATTGAATAAAATTAAAAACTTTAGAAATAGTTTAAAGACAAATTGTTTAAGCAAATGTTTTTTTAAATTGGTTTAATTGAAAAAATTTTTTTTTTTAAATTAATTTTTTTAACAATGATGATGATGATTATTATTATTAAAACACGTGAATATATTTATTTATTTTTTTATGATAAAATAAAAATTATTATCATCGTCACAGTTACATAAAAAAAAAAAAAAAAAATTCAATGTTTGCTCCTATGTATAAATTTTGATATTTAGGTTGATGACTTTTGAAAAAAAAAAAAAAAAAAAAAAAAAAAAAAACAAAATGTCGTTAATTTTGTGATTAAATGCAATTTATTAAACGTTTGTTCTATTCTTTGTCTTAAATAAGTTCAATAAAAATTTAAGTCAATTATATTAAAAACTTTAAACAATATTTAATGATTTTTAGGCAATGGAAATTTTTTATATGTAACTCTACATAAACTCTCTTAAATTGCTTATTTTTTTTGTCTCGTGATACATATGTGAGAATACATTATTAAATAAATGCATAAATAAATAAATAAATAAAATAAAAATTTTTAAAAATATATTTTATGTTTGATTGAATTCATCCAATTACAAAAGAAAAATTTTATTGATTGATTTGTTAAAACCTTACATATATATATTATTTACATGTGATTTATTTTCCCTTTTGAAATAAATAATTAAATAATAATCATTTTTATATATAAATAAATGTTGAGATTTTATTGTTGAAATTTTACTATCTCATTGATAAGAAATTTTTTTTTTTTTAAAGGTATACAATTTTAGTGTTATATAAAATATTTATTGATATAGTTCAATTCAATTTCTATGTTTAAATTTTTTTAAATTTAATTAATAAAATATTTTTTTTTTTTTTTGGAAATAAATAAAATTTAAATCTTAAATTATTAAAAAATATTTGGACAAGGCAAAAAAAGGTTTGTTGTTTTTATTATTATTATTATTCATTTTATTTAATTAAATTTTTTTTTAAAAAATATGATTGAGTGATATTTTAATAAAAGTTTCATTGAAATCATCGATTTTGTACTTATCTATAAGATTATTTGATAAAAATCACAGGATTTTAAAATTTCAGACTTTTTTAAAAAAAAAAAAAAAAAAAAAAAATGTCTGATTGTAACAATTTAAATTATCATGTAATTATTTTAGTGTAATTTAATTTAATTAATTTAAATTAATTTAAGTGATGGTGCATAAAAGTCTGTTCTTCACAAACGTACACAATTTATTTATTAAATAAAAATTTCTCATGATTTATTTTAGACCAAGATGGCTTCCATGTTTAGAACAGAAGAAATGGTTTTATGCCAATTGTTTATACAACCGGAAGCTGCCTACGCTTCTGTTTCAATTTTGGGAGAATTAGGAATCGTACAATTTCGCGACGTAAATTAAATAATTTTTAATTAAAATATTTGTTTTTTATTAACAAAAAATAATAATAATAATTATACGATTAATATATGATTATTTTGTTGTTTTTACAGTTGAACAGTAGGGTAAACGCTTTTCAAAGAAAGTTCGTGGCAGAAGTGAGACGTTGCGATGAAATGGAGCGTAAACTTCGATATATCGAAGTTGAAATAAAAAAGGATAAAGTTAAAGTTCCTGAAACAAGTGTAATTCCGAACGCGCCAAATCCTAGAGAAATAACTGATCTCGAAGTGAGTAAATAACTATTTTTATACTTAAAATTAATAATTAAATGTTTTCTACATACGTGTAGACATTAAAAACGTGTCATATTTTGTATTAATAATCTAATCTGTAGGCTAAATTAGAAAAAACGGAAAATGAAATCCAAGAATTAAGTGGCAATGCAGTTAATCTTCATTTCAATTATTTGGAATTGACAGAATTAAAACATGTTTTAGAAAAAACTCAATCATTTTTCACAGAGGTGAGAGTTTTTTTAAAATATATTTCCTTCACTTTAATTATATAAAATATTTAAATAAATAAGTTGTTTCTTTTTGTTGCATTCATAGGACTTTCCAGTAAGTTTACATCATGACATCCATGATGTACATTTCATGATCTTTTTTTTTTTTTTAAATATTTTGTCGGGTACAACAACAATAATTCACATAATAATAATAATAATAATAATAATAATAATAATAGTTTTATTTAATGCAATACATTTACTTTTACTTTGATTAAAAAACAAACAAACAAACAAACTAATTTTATGAATTTTATTTTATCATTACAGCCAGCATTACAACAGGATGAAACATCTGAATCATTAACTAAATTTCTTATAAATGATGAAAATGTTGTGTCTCAAGCTCAAAGAGGAAGATTAGGGTAAGGTGGTTCATCTGGATGAAAAATACTAATTTTAAATAATAATAGTTTGTTTGTTGTTTGTTCGAGTTCGATTAGTTAAAAAATGGAATCGAATTCTACGACTAATCCAATGCTACTATCCGAACGTGTGAGTTCGATATTTTCCCTGTCTTCGGATAATTTGTCAAATATATAATTTAACATATATGTATTTGTTATTATTCCTAAAACGTAAAAATATGTTATTATGTATTTCCATGCTAAAAATAATTGAAATTTAATAAAACGATTCGTGTATATTGTACGAGACATGTTTCTTTTTTTTTTTTTTTTACACTAGTAAATTTTATTTTAAAATGTTTTAAATTCTTTTTTTGTAAAAAAATATTAATGAAGTAATTATTATTATTATTATTTGAAACGATGGATACAACTGATGGAAAAAGAGGGGTGCCAAATATTAAAAAATAAATTTTTGGTTTTTTTTATGTAAAATTTAAATATTAGAACGAATATCATTCCAAAGGTTTATAGTTTATATAAATTAAATGTTTAAATTTTTAGTTTTGTGACTGGAGTAATTTCTCGTGAACGTGTTCCAGCATTTGAAAGAATGCTTTGGAGAATATCCAGGGGAAATGTTTTTTTAAGACAAACCGAAATTGAAATCCCTCTTCAAGATCCAAATTCCGTAAGTTTGTTGTCACGTGAAAATAAGATTTTTTTTTTTTTATAAAAAGAATAATTTTTTTTTTTTTTTTTTAAATTTTCTAGAGAAATCAATTGTACAAAACAGTATTCGTGGCATTTTTTCAAGGTGGCGAACTTAAAAGCAGAGTTTTAAAAGTTTGTGCCGGATTTCATGCCAACATGTATCATTGTCCCAACACAAATGCAGAAAGGCAAGAAATGTTGAACGAAGTTAAAACACGCCTGGAAGATTTAAAACTGGTGAGTTTGTATTTTTCTTGTGAAAAAATTTTATGTTTTTTCCGCACAAAAATAAAAATTACTTTTGTTTTAGGTTTTAAACAGAACGCAAGATCTTAGAGAACGTGTTTTGGTCACCGTGGCTCGCGAATTACAAGACTGGACGATAAAAGTTAGAAAAATGAAAGCCATTTACCATACTTTAAACATGTTCAATATGGATGTGACAAAAAAATGCCTCATTGGAGAATGTTGGACTCCAGCTGCGGATCTTTCAAAAGTACACAGTGCTCTTGCTGATGGAGGCGTACGTTATCATCATCATTATTATTAATAACATTAAGGGATTCGTTCTATTTATTTATTGTCTTTTAGAGAGTCGGGGGAAGTTCGATTCCATCATTTTTAAACGTAATTGAAACCCTCGAAGATCCTCCGACTTATAACCGTACAAACAAATACACAAAAGCATTTCAAAATATAATTGATGCTTATGGTATTTCTTCCTATGGAGAAATAAATCCAGGTTCGATTTTATTATTATCCTCTTTTCTTCCTCCTCCTCCTCCTCCTCCTCGTGCTGGAATTAATTTACTTTTTATTTTTCAGCATTGTACACGATAATTACATTTCCGTTTCTTTTTGCTGTCATGTTTGGAGATTCCGGACACGGTATTATATTGACGTTATTTTCCGGTTTCATGATATTAAAAGAAAAACAATATTTAAAAGCTAAAATTAAAAATGAAGTAAGTATAATTAAAATTTTTTTTGTTGCTGTTGCGAACACCAGGAAAAATTTTTTCTTTTTTTTTAGATCGGATCAATTTTTTTCGGGGGTCGTTACGTTATTTTCCTCATGGGTTTATTTTCCATATACACGGGAATTATATACAACGACATGTTTTCAAAATCGATAAACGTTTTTGGAACGAGCTGGAAATCTCAATTAAACGAAACGGAAATATTAAAATCAAAATTTTTAACTCTGGATCCAGCAACTGAAGAATATTCTCAAGTACCTTATCCGTTAGGTATCGATCCTGTTTGGCAGGTAAGTTTTTTTTAAATAATTTTCTTTGAGCACTGAATTCGGTTTGTTGGCTTTGATGACACCCACACTTTACGACATTTTCCAGCTTGCCAATGGAAATAAAATTGTCTTCCTAAATTCTTTTAAAATGAAATTATCTATTATTTTCGGTGTCGTACACATGATGTTTGGAGTTTGTTTAAGCGTATTTAATCACACGTAATTATTATTATTATTATTATTATTATTATTATTATTATTATTATTTTTCCTGTCCGAATTCCAGGAAAAGCCATTTAAATCCCATTTTCTTTGATTTTAGGTACTTTAAAAATTATTCAAACATAATTTTGGAATTTATTCCGCAAATATTATTTTTAAGCATACTTTTCTTTTATCTAGTCATACTTATTTTTTTAAAATGGATCATGTATTCGGCAAATAACGGTAATATTATTATTATTATTATTGTTATTAATCCCTTATAGATTTTAAAATGATTTTTTTTCTTATTCAAGTTGGACCCAAGGGAACTTATTGTGCTCCAGCTATCCTTGTCGTATTTATTAATATGGTATTAATGCAATCGAGTAAAACAAAAAATGGATGCGATGATTTTATGTTTTCCGGACAAAATGAAATGCAGGTCGCATTCGTTGTCATATGCCTTGCTTGCATACCTGTTTTATTATTTGGAAAACCTTTTTATATTCTTTACAAATCGTCGACGAAAAAAAAAACGGTTTGTTCGAAATTGATTTTAGAAGGTTTTGTTGTTGTTTTGTTGTTGTCGTTGTTGCTGACAATTTTCCAATAAAATTCTATTTAAGGTATCGAAAATGGAGAATGTCGAAAATCAGGGATTCGAATTACAAAGTTCAGAATTACATTCGGATGATTATGTAAAATTGGAAAATGTAGAAAATGATAAATCAAATGAAAATTTTAAAGAAATAATGATACATCAAGCCATTCATACAATCGAATATGTTTTGAGTACAGTTTCACACACGGCTTCCTATTTAAGATTATGGGCTCTTTCTCTTGCTCATTCTCGTGCGTTTTTATTTATTTAAATAAATTTTTCATTTCGTTTTCAATTCAAAAAAATTTTTTTTTTTTTTTTCTAAAATAGAATTATCCGATGTTTTATGGAGTAAAATTCTCCACGAAGGATTAACGAGTGATTCTTATTCTGGTATACCAATGTTATTTGCCATATTCGGTGCTTGGGCATTTTTAACAATATCAATATTAGTCATGATGGAAGGATTGTCTGCTTTTTTACACACATTACGTTTACACTGGTGAGTTTTAAGCAGACGAAAAAAAAAAAATTTCGTTTTCCTGAAATCCTTATTAATTTCTTTTAAATAACGTTTTAGGGTCGAATTTATGAGTAAATTTTACAAAGGAGAAGGTTATGCATTCGTACCATTTTCGTTAAAAAAACTTTTGGACGAAGATTTCGAAAGCGAATAATAATAATAATAATAATAAAAAAAAAAAGATTTAAATAAAATTGTAGTCAAATAAATTAATAAATGTAATTTATTAACAAATATATATATATATATATATATTTTAATTTATTTTTAATAATTATTATTATTATTATTACAATTGAAAACTATTTGAAAATAATTAATAAGCTTGTTCGAGTCGTAACGATTTTTTTAATATAAATTTTTACAATTAAAGCATATTAATATTATTATTATTATTATTATTAGGTATATGAATGACGTCATTTTTTTTCGTTTTACATGATAATCTCAGACGTTTTCGTTTCGCTATCATTAATTGATAAATAATTATTCAACCATTGATCAATGACGGGTAAATTTTCTTCGTTCCATTTAACTTCTTTTTTTATGTGTTTTAACGATTGTTCGATAACAGGTTCGGCCGTACCGAATTCACCCTGATGACGTACGTATAAATCAGATACCTGTTTAAAAAATGGTAAATAAATCGGTTGGACGATGTTGATTATATGTGGGGGGGGGAAAGGAGGGGAGGGGGAAAATATTACCATGTCGAAACCATCTTGATTTTTAAAATTTCTCGTTGCTGCGCTAACTAAATTATCCCAAAGACCATTTTCTTTATTGCTGTACCTGAAAAATTTTTTCATTTAAATTTATGAGGATTAGAGAAGAGATTTGTTGCAGGGTAAAGGTTTGATGCATACCTGGTTCTAAGCATATTCCAATTTTCCGACAGTAAATTAAATAAAGCCGTGTAACCAGCTTGATTAGATAAAACGCTAAGAATAAATCTAACGTTGCCATCGGTTATTGTCGAATTCGGATCCAACATCGTCATATTTAAAAGTCTACGATAGAAAATTTGTTATCATTATTATTATTATTTTGGGGAGGGGGGGGAGGAAATAAATAATCGTTGATTTACTTTTCGACGTTCCAAGGTTTCGTTGGACAGCTCACTAATGTTTTTAATAAATAATATCGATCTGCTTGTTTTAAACTGGGAGAATATTTAAAATATCTTTCCAATCCGAATTCCCATTCTTCTTTGGTTCCCCATTTAAAAACCCAACAGAAATGAGATTGTGAAATACTTAAAATTAAAACCAAAAAAAAAATAAATTTATTATTAAATGTTGATTAGGTCATTCGTGAGGTCGATTACAAAAATATTATTATTACGGTATTCCCGCATCAGGTTCGGGAAACTCCATCCATTTTTTCCATTGCATTCGTGCTTCTTCGAC